TCTATGCCATCCAATTTGGTAGCCACTAGCTACATGTGGCTACTGAGCACTTGAAATGTGGCTAGTTTGAATTGAGACATGCTGTAAGTATAAAGATACACACTAGATTTTGAAGACTTAGTATGAAAAAAGAATATAAAATCTCAATTATATTGATTCTATGGAGAAATGATAATATTTTGAATAAACCAAAAAAACAAACTCACTGCCTTCAAGTCGGGTCTGACTCACAGCGACCCCTCCTTGGGTTTCTGAGTAGGTAGTAGCACTATGGAAATAGATTGCCCAATCTTCCTTCCAAGGAGTGGCTGTGGGTTTGAACTGCCAGGCTTCTGGTTAGCAGTCTTAGGCACTACGCCACCAGAGTTCCCAATATTTTGAATATATTGGATTCAATAAAATATATTATTAAAATTAGTGCTACCTGTTTCATTCATTTTACTTCCTTTACTGTGGCTACTAGAAAATTTAAAAGTACACATGTGGGTCACATTTGTACACTGGCTCATCCCATATTTTCCCTAAAACCCATAGGAATAGTACCATGTACCCAGCATATACTCAATAAATACTGGCTGAATGTGTTAAATTGGGCCACTTGAGAAGAGTCCTTAGACTAAGAATTGATGGATTCCATTTTCTTTAAGTAAAATACTTGTATATTTAGTTAAGAATATGAGTATCTGGACAGGCATTAGCAGTGGGGAAAGTGATGGAAGTGTGTGAAGCTGTTGATGTTCTTGAGGCTAGTGTTAGGTCCCCAGCTGTATTTACACTCTGCTTCAGTGAATAACCACCACTTTAGTTCGGCCAGCCCAAATGTTTATTTCTTTGAAAACACCATTTTCAAAGCGCAAGCACTTGTTTCATAATCTGCTTTAGGCAGGCAGATCCATGTGATTTTTAAATACTGATCACATGACTTGGAACTTTGGAACTGGACCAACTCATTGGCCTCTAAGTCCTTACCTCATGTTGAAAAATTGCTTCCCAGATTTTTTTTTCCTCCTCCAATTTGGGAAGTGAGTACAGCAAAGGGATTAAAGGGTTTATTAAGCACTTAGTCTAATAGGTCTGCATTCTTAAAATGATTCTTTAAAAAAAAATCTCTTTGATTTTCTGCAATGAGCATGTTATCCCTGCCTTGTTTCATACAATGATGCCTTGGCATAGAGTCATCAGCAATCTTGACATGCCAGGCCATTTAAGTGGTTTTGAAACTCTTCGTAAGCAATTCCAGTACTCCATTTCTGGGGAAGTTGAAAATAATTTAAACTCAAGGTGGGTAACTTGAAAGAAATAAAAAGAATTAGATGACAATTTGCACTGGAGTATGTTAATGATTTTGGATCCCTAAATATGTGGTAAGTTTTAGGAGAAAACAGTGAATTATTTAGTAAGGAGGATCCATAAAAACATGTACTTTGTCTCATTCCTGTATCATCCAAATATACATGTTCTACCTTAAATTTCTTCTAAGAGGCACTGGGGAGGCACAGTCATGGTCCTGAGTTGCACTAAGACTTGCTGGGTTAGTGCTTCTGGAGATGAAGTAAACAACACCTTATTCAGACAATGGGATTATGCAGCACGATCAGTGATTCTTCCCAGTCATAATTTTTAGTTCTTCTGTGTTAAAAATATTTAAAAAACTACAGAATAAACTATTTAAGATCGACCTCAGAAACAATTTCTTTGGTTAGGAGAGAAATTAGGAAAGAAGGTGATTTTTTTTTTTTTTTTGGTGGTATTTTAATGGTCTGTAAATAAAGATATTTAAAGTTTTTACTCACAGTGAGAAAATAGGGAGAAATGAAATGAATGAAAACAGAGAAGACAAAGGAAAGACTGCAGTTTGGAGAACTTTTCACTTTGTTCTAAGTGAATGTTGTATACCTGCACCTAATAGGCACAATGAGGAAAAAAAA